ACCCCAATATAACACCCTAAATAGTAGGATCCCTATTATATGGACCCCAAAATAGGGTACCCTAACTTTCGGAAACTCCCAAATAGCCTTTAAACACTTAAGGATATCAATGCATGAGGGAGGGAGGACTTGGACTCGTGGAGAAGGAGGAATCCGGAACCCTCAGCCCAGTGCAGTCGCCAAGCCGTAAGTATTCTGATCACCAGATAAGTACCTGTAGTATTTTGGGGGCTCCTTACGATAATTGTAGTATACAAGGCCATCAAGTGCCCCCTCTCTTCTCACCATTCTTCCTATCATGATTGGTCCTTCAGCACTCTTGGCCCCCGTCTCAACTTCCCCACTCGGCCATGCAATTCAGGAAACTGTGTCCAAAATGCCAGGAGCCCCTGAAAACAGCTACACATTTCCATCACCCTTCAAGCCTGGGTAGAGTTGATAGCTCAAATTCAAGGCCAAAAAAGGAGGATACTTCTCTTCATCATGCAGACCCCTCAAGGAATATGGTCGACAATTTTCGAGAACGGAAGCCAAGCCCAAACTCAAAGGCCTAGGAACCGTAAACTCCACCCTATACCCTTTTTGAACCCAGGCTCTTTGCTACCAGCTGGGCAGCAGGCATGGGTCTGGAGACAGGCGTGCAGTTGCCACCCTATACCCTGAACCCTAAACCGCTTTTTTAACCCTTTTGAACGAGGTCTCTCTGAAGTGCCCTAAACCCCAAACCCTACACCCTAAACCCTACAAGCCCGAACTCCACAGCTGAGGCTAAGGCCAGTTCTGGCTCTCCATGCCGCAAGTCCTTCGCGGCATCCGGTATCAGAAGAGCCTTTTCTAAACCTGTCTACGGTGAGGGGAGCTAGAACGGGATTTTATGGGCTGTAGTTGCAGAGATCAACTCCGGCCCCTCTGTTTTTGTGAAACACATACAGTACTGCAAATATAACTAAGTAGAATAGGGTTCCTTAAAGGGGATACTATGAAGGTTCTATAATATAAGGGCCTTATATAATTATTAAAGTAGGGTCTTCGGGCCCATCACATTATCATTATAATAAGAAGCCCCAAAATAGTATTGGCAAACGATTAGGCCTACATTAGATCTGACCAGGCGCCAGAGACCCTGCGGAGTACTGCCAGGGTGCTATCCCCTACACCTTTCCCGAGCCTTAACTGCCCAAAGTCTCGCATTTCTGATTTCTGGCCCAAAGCGGTTGCCTTTAAGCCATGCATTGCTACACTCCAAATCTAAAGCCCGTAATAAGATGATGCTTTCAGGGCAGCCCTGAACCCCTACAGTATCCCCTGCACATGGTAGGACTATACACTTTAGTCCAAGATCCTGGAGACTCTCACGGATCCTACCAGTCCGCTTTAAGAGACCCACTGTAGAGTTTACGCTCTCGCAACTCGAACCCTGCCAATACGTGTATGTATTTAAAGGAGGGGGTGGTCAGGGTATGTTTTCTTCGTTGTGAAAGGAGATTATTAGGGGGTGTGTTTTTTGCAAACAAAAAAACAGCCATTTTCGTAGAGCTCGAGTTCAGGGTTCAGATAGACTTTTTAAGAGAAGAGAGAGCCTTCGTTCTTCTGTATATCCTAAGCACGGGTCGCATCTCAGGGCTTCTAAGAGTTCTCTCTCTCTCTGGCTCTCTCGCTCTCTTTCCCTCTCCCTCTCTCTCTGGGAATCTCTGTGCTCTTGTATGCATAACATATCCTGAGCTGAAGCTTCTGTGTATATGCGGACACGGCCATCATAGATTCTATGCCGCCGCTGGCATGATTGCTCGCCCGACAACCGCACATTGTGATACTCGTTCTTCTTTGGGGTGTCCTGGTATGAGTATAGCGGGAGAACCTCACACCCAAATCGCGAGGATAGGTCTGAGTTTACGGGCTTGCCTGTAGCCCAAGATCTAGAAGTAAAACGGTTCCCTACTATGACCTCCTATTTTTCTCGTCCCTGGTCAAAACGGTAGGTTTTTATGACTGCAGGCCAAGTCTTTAGCTGAGACAAAAAGCGACTGCTGCTGTCATCAAGCCGACATGGGGGTTTCCGAAAATAGGGGACCCTAATATAGCACCCTAAATAATAGGATCCCTACTATAAGGACCCCAAAATAAGGTACCCCCCAATTTTTGGAAACTCCCACATGAGAAGTTGCTGGGAAGCCCGGCGGCATGAGGTTTCCTGAGCAGTTGCTTTGAAATAGAGGCTTTCATGCGCGGGATGGGGTTTTGCGGAGGGTTTCCTGAGCCGGATGGTGTTGCTAAGTCGATGTTGCAGTTTTGGAAGACAGTTGGGGCTATAACCGGACACACATACTACACTGATTCGGAGCTTTGCTGAGGGATTTAATGCTAGGGCCTCAGGGGTGTAGACTTCCGCATTCGGGATCCCCGGAGATCTTGGATGAGAAACATGTGACTCTGGTTCATGACGACTTGCAACTCACAGTCTCGGGGTTTCGACTCGCATGCTCGCGTTCGGAAGTTTATAGCCTATGGTTTGGGAGGTTGGGGTTTAGGGTTTAGGGGTTTGGAAGTTAATAGGCTATGGTTTGGGAGGTTGGGGTTTCAGACATCAGAAAGGGTGGAGCCCGGACCTCTCAAAAGGAGCCGAAGTCTGAGGATCCCTGCTACCCGGACCCCAAAGACTAGGAGGGAGCTCCGACTTTCAAGAAATCGCAATAGGGTTTAAGTTTAGGGTTTAGGGCAGACTCGGGGTCTGTAAACCTAGTTCCGCTACAGGGCTCAAGTCCTGGTTTATAGAGGTTTGTTCACATCCCTATCGGGTTTAGGGTATTGAAACTTAGGGCTTAGGGTTTAGGGATATGACGTGGCATTTTGTAGAAACGGCTGCTTAACCAACGCGAGGATAGACCGCTGCAGAGCTTGCCGGAGGTTCGGGGAACTACGGGCAAATCCTCGGTGGCCAGCACACAGAACGGGAGGACGGGCAGCAAAAGCGGCAGTACTACCATACTTGCGCTTGGTTTTTGCCTTAAGGGTCAGCGAGTGGCCATTCTGCAAATTGCAATCTTTGACTCGTGCAGATGCATCCAGGACGCTCCCGAAAGAGGCCACCAGCCGCCCTTTTTCCGACTCCGAGTGCGGTCTGTGCCTGACAGTCTCCAGGTTTCAATCAATATCCTCATCATATCGAGCGTCCACGGCAGTGCTGTGTTGCCACTGAGTGGCCCAACCTCCACTTTAATTGACAATGCTCACTGCAGCGGACTTAAGGCTTAAGGGTTTAGGTTTTGAAGGGGGGGAGGGCCCGTGACTTGAGCCAAAATGGGGCTACGGTTTGGGGTGTTTTGCTAGGTGGCCTACGGTTTAGGGTGTAGGATTCAGGGTTTAGGGAATCCTTGGTGTGTGCCCTATACTACCAGGAGTACTTTGTAGAGGAAGGAGTGACCCTTCAAGCAGGATCGACTGTCTAGATCCTCCTATCCAAGACCCTCAAATCCCAAACCCTTGAAGTTTCAAAAGATGCTTCCGAGCATCCCATCAGCTCAAGCAGCCACGCGGGAAATTCCACAGGCGCTACCTGGCCGAACTAACCATCGATCAAAAAGGGCAAAGATCCTATGGCGCTGATATTATCGAAAGCCTTGTGGTCACCTAATGGACTATCTCACTTACTTTGGAAGTCATGCAGTGTTGTAAGCTGGGGGCATTCATGATGTAAATAGGTTTGACGGCGTATTGCAATCTAACTGTATTGTGTACAGTGCGACCTGCGCCGGATCAGCCTTCGGGGCTCAAACGGCCCCGAAAAGGAGGCGTCTTTCTGCAAGGCGTCTTCTCGACGTGTGCACGAGTGCAAGCCCGCTCGCTCTTTTCTTCGCCTCTGAACTTGGGGCTCATTCAGAGCTAGCCGTGGCAAAGGGATCCCAAGTCGAGGCTCTGCCGGCCTCCACCCCAGACTGGCGATAGCCACGGCTCGTACCCTTCTTGGCCTCGGTATCGGATGGGCTAGCCAGGATGACTTCGGTCAGGGCCCCTACCCCTACCCACTAACCGTCAGCAAGGGCAACTATACTTTGCGATTGTAATTAAGTTGGAACTCTCTGGTGGAGCAGCCAAGGCAGAGTATCATGTTCCAGAGTTAAGTTTATACACAGGGGTGTGTATGTAAACATGCACATGTTATAACCTATGCATGCAGGCATGAATGCATGCGTGCATGCTGTCGGGTGCATGATGCTGCAGCAAAGCAGAAAGGAATCCTTGCAATGCTACAGACAAAGTGGGGGTCTGCAGTGTTCAGTATTCGGCTGGACCATCGGCTCGTGTCAGCTTTAAAGAACCCTTTGAGCCGGAGTCAGGTCCCCACCAGCCACGCAGTTTTGGGGCCATTGCCTCGCGGAAAAGGTGCAGAAGCCGTCAACAAGTGGAGGAGATATGGGAGTTTCCGAAAATTGGGGGTACCTTATTTGGGGGTCCTTATAATAAGGATCCTACCATTTATGGTACTATATTAGGGTCCCCTATTTTCGGGAACCCCCATATCAGAAACATAGCGGTAGCATCTTGCAGTTGCACACCCTGGCTCAGCATGGCCCTAGCTGGAAAGCAGTTGCAGACCTTCCTGTCTTTTCGAAGTGGCTCAAGTTGAAATCTTTGGAGGCAGAAGCTGAGCGCAGTGCTGCCGGAGGGTGACTGCCAGCTCACACCTTTGTTGCGGGACCATGCTTGGCTCTCGAACTGGGGCGTGGGGCGAAGAGGCAAGGGCGGGTCAGATTCGATGGGGCTAGTAGAGCTTTTGGATCCTGGCGCCAAGGAGCCTGCGAAACCGAGATTGTGTCTGACATCTCGGAGCCATTCACTTCTTGAGGCGCCACTAAATTCCCCCCCAAATTCCCCCCCAGAGTTATGGCAGAGCACCCTACAGGCAAGTTCCGACTTGTTGTCGCATGTTGGGCACGAGCAGGGCCAAGCTTCAGGGGACAGTCGGATACTTTGTCTCGACTCGTCGCGGCTGGGCACGCGAATCAGGGTTTTCCCGACTCGCCAGCAGGAGGCAGCTGCAGACATCGCCCGATGCTCTTCCAGTCCCTGGCCAGATGACTCGATTCGTCGTGGACGGTTTCCCAGGCACGGAGCTCCTCCGAGTCTGCCTGAGCCCTCCGGAGGGCTCCGTCAGCAACTGCTTCCAGGACCTCTGGCAACGTCAAAGCCACGCCGGGAGCCGCCCAAACCTCTGCTTTGAGCATGTTGCGATGACAGGGGATGCAGGCAGCGAGCTTGAAGAGCCTTAACAAAGAGATGGTGATCTCCAAACTCGGAGCCTGGCAAGCCCATCGGAAGAGGCAGCGCAAGAGGAGCTGACCAAGTCCAGCCCTGGAGTTGCAAAACTGGCTCCGGAGGGATTCAGACTTCAATCGCCCTAATTCCACCAGCAGTTGCAAGGATGCTCCGGTAAGCAGCGGGTCCTCCGTTCCCCTCAAAATGCCCAGGATCGTTGGGATGCACTCCTCCAAGGCTCCCGATCCCTCTTCCACGGAAGCCAGGCACCAAAGCAGCTTCACCGGAAGGTGGGGCAGTCGCTCGGCCTCGACAGCTAAGTCCAAGAGCGGCACCACGAGCTTCTGGCAGAGGTCTGCGCAGGAGCTCGGCTGGTGCAAGAACTTCTCCAAGAGCTGGTGGACGGCCATCAGCCGCACTGGCATCGAGGTCCCCGTGGCGATCGTTTCAGCTAAAGGCGCCGAAGATTGCGCTGTAACCTCAAGGCACTCCTCCTCGGACTCCCTCCATGAAGCAAGCTCCATGGAGACGTAGGGGTTTAGAGGCTGAGTCGGGTTTAGGGGCTTACGGCCACGACATATCGTCACTGTATGGGATGGATGGGGCAGTGAGCAGCTGAACCCTATACAGGTACCTTCACTGCTAGCATGACTTTCTGCTGATCCTCATGGCTGAAGCACTCAGTTGAAGCTGATCCCATAATACAGACTTAACGACTGCTGGACGGATCATGTAGACACGTCGTGCCTTGTGTCGGCAAAACTCTGGGGCTTCACATGTTCGAGAGTCGACATCCCGCTGCTACAGGCATGCTATAGTACAATCACATGTGGAGTATCACCCTTGATGTGGGAGCAATCCGAACTGAAGCCCTGTGATACTCTGTGCTTTGGCACAGCCACACATTCAATCAACTCTTTTCAACACCTAAATGGCTACCATGTTTTTAGACGGGTCAGACAACAACAACGAGAAGCAGGTGCAGAACCAAACAGCGTGGCTTGGCACCAGTGATGCCATCAGAATCTGTCAAGACTCTGCCACTCGAACCTCTGCTTCCTTCCAGCCCTTGATTTCTCTCTCCGCACAGCCCTCATCAACACCGAGGCCCGCAAACTAAGCCCTAAACCCCCCCTTTTTTTGCATCAGGACTTGTGCAATCGCCTGAATGTCTGAGCCCCAAACCCTAAGCCCCAAAAGCCCTAAGCCGCAAACCGACCCTATGAGGCTCCCCTGTCCGATACTTGGAGGATCATGGGACTTAGTAAATAGGGTTATAAGTAAGGTAACTAGAGCTATAAATACTTACAACCCCAACTAGGGTACTTATAACCTTACTTCCTAAGTCCCATGATCCTCCAAGCACACCTTATGCACTGAGCAGGCTGGGCCCTGCACTGTGGAGTATCGTCGCGAAGTATTTGGCGCACTCCTCCTGGTCGCGGCGACTGCAGGATGCAGGGGCCTTAGTCCTTGGAATAGGGCTCTCTCTGGCGTCTAGAACGATCTAGTTTTGATAAGGAGCCCGGAGGAGCAATAATTACTGGCAGTTGTTGTATGAATATATTATATTATGTTACACTATATATTTCAAAGTTGTATTGCACTCTACTCTATCACATTATGTTTTATTGTTCGAGTTAAGTCGGTTAAGTGGACCCTTACGGCTCTGACCCCGGACCCCAACAGCCAGGCCCATCTAAGCCTAAACCTCTGAACGCTAGGCTCCTAACACCCTAAACGGCCTCATGGTCTGAATCAGTCGTAATCTTATCTCGCTTTTAAGCCCTACAACTGTACACCATGTATATATATATATATACACACACACATTACACGCATGCCCGAAAGCCTCAAGACACTCGTTTTTGATGAAGCTGCTCAGCTTGACTTTGAGCTGATCTCTGTACAAAGCATGCCTTCAGGGTGCTGGAAGTTTCTGTCAGATCAGGTTCTGGATTTGGGGTTGAAGGGGTGGGGTTTGGGTTTTTGCTTCTTTTTGATACCCCTTTTCCTTCCGCATTTCTCGAACCCTGTGACCTTGCAGACCAGGGATCCCACTCGTTACCTATAGTCTCCATTGTAGTTCTTTTTTTTGGTTTAACCAATAATATGATAAGGATTTCATAAGGTATCCCCCAAAAGGAACTACAATGGAGACTGTAGGTAGGGTCTATGCTAGGGGATCTTTATAACAATCAAAAAACCCTAAACCCTAAACCCTAAAGGGGCAGAACAGCTCGCCGGCTCTCAGGTTGACAAGCAGAGTCTCGCCTGGTGAACATAGGCATCCTGTTGGTGCACATGAATTCCCCAAGCAGTGTTCTACTGCAAAACTATGGGGTTCTTATGTTCAGCGTAACCAAAGGGATTTAATTGCTGAGCCGCAGAGGTTCTGCGGCTCCTGCTGCGGCACGGTGCGCATGTTCGTTTCAAAATCGTGCTCTTTCCACAGTCCTGCGCCGGCCGGCCGCGTCTGCTGCGGATGCCGAAGTTGAAATCGATTGCAGAAGCCTAGATTTCGGTGCCCCCGAAACGCTCCTCAACTTCGGTGGCCTTCGCACAAGGTCGCTCAAGTTCTGGCAGTCGTTGAGGTGGTCTCGTCCCATCTAAAATCCGAAATGAGATTTTCCAAATATTGGCAATCATGCCCCGGCCGCACCTATGTTGTGTTACGGCTCCGCTGCCCGTCGCAGCCCCTTGCGTGTCCGCCTTTTGACATGGTGCTCCCACAACACTGCCGTGCCAAAGTTGCACCATGGCTCGTGTTCCCGTCGCAGGGAGTCGTGGGATGCTGCTGGGAGTCTCAGGGTTGCTCTTACCTATAGTCTCCATTGTAGTTCGTTTTTTTGGTTTAACCAAATATATAATAAGGATTTTATAACGTATCCCCAAACAGGAACTACAATGGAGACTATAGGTAGGTAGGGCTTGGGCTTGGGCTGCCAGGTGCTCCTTATCACTGCTTGGGGTCTACGGCATGTTTGCTTGAGCGCGCACTTTGGCAGCTCGGGCACTCAAGCCCTCAATGAACATGGACGAAGCGAGCAGCCATGCTCTTTAAATTACCTTCACTATATGTAAAATGCGGGCCTGAACCTTGTCGCAGCCTCCTGCAGCTTCCTTGTCTCAACGTCCATTGCCACACGTCGCAGCTCCGAGCAGGCTGCGTCGTGCGAGTGATGACGTGTGACCAAAATGCAGACTTCATCTGCGATCCTGGAAATACGGGTGAGACAATATGGGTGCCAATGTGTTGAGGCGCAATCCACACAATCGCAATGGTCGGGCCAGATTGGAATTGTACTGATTCGGTCAACTGGACGGAACTCTCATCCTATCCTCATGTGACGCCCTCTGGCCCTAAATAACCAACAATCCCGAACTCCGCCTCTCATGACCGAACAGCATCAAGACCAAAACCGCATACACAGCCACTAACAGTACAGGCGGCGTGCATGGACCGAGCCGAAACCCCAAAAAGCCCGACGGTGGCTCAGGAGCATCTCATGAAGCATTCAGGCTTCGACTTCTGGTCATACCAATCCTGCGAGCAGTGGGAGGGCTGCAGGGTTTGTTGTTTAGGCACTGCGGTGCGGGGGGTGCAATGTAGAGGCCTAAGGCCAAAGGCCTAATACCTATAGAGCAAGGACGCTAGAGTGAATTCTCGTGGTACTTCCGTCGGGTTGCAGAAAGGGCCTGCTGTAAACAGCCCATAGCGCTAGACCCTTCCTTAGACTCGTTGACTCGTCACATGAGGGTTTCTGCTGGCACCATTATTGTTCCCTAACCCTCCAGGTACCTACTATATAGGGCCCTCGGGGCTCTAGTACCCTATATAGTAGGTACCTGGGGGGTTAGGGGTTATCATTCTTTCACTGATATTCTTCTGGTTCGGAGTCTTTGCAAGTTCTTTCTGGAATCGAGGAACGACGGGGTCGACCGGGATCTCAACCTCTGTCTGGGATGCAAAGCTGCAACTACGGCTGGAGCTCTGGGTTCCTGAGTGGAGAAAAGTCGGACAGGCCTGCTGTAGGACGGGCTTTCAAGCCGTGATATTATTTTTTGCATATACAAAAAACATCGGTTATGCTTTGGGCATTTGATACGAAGGCATAGGTACCTTATCTTACATGTGGTATAGTATCAAGGCCGTTCATGTATCTAAAAAATTGTCGTTGGCCTCGGTAGTTGTAGGTGGGCTGGGGCTCTTCCGAACCCGCGTCCTGGGCTTTGCAGATACTCCCTCTCCACAAGAGACAGGTCTGCCAGGTGTGGTGGAACTGAAAGCCATGGCATCCTGCATCAAGCACTTCCGGTGTCGGGGCAGATAACCTAGGGCACTATAGGGCAAGAAAAGGTACTTGAGGTTAGTCCACGGCCTTGGGAAGAAGACTGATGTACCCAAAGGGTCCAAAGTACCTATATGGTAGAATGTAGGGTTTCTATAGTAGGAATTGCTATTATGATTTGGGAAAGTATCCCCCCATAACAGTACCTAGGACCCTTTGATGTATGAAAGATTTCGAAAACCTTCCGTCATGGCGAAAGCTCGGAAGATGAAAGTAAGAGCAAGATGCAGACTTCTCCGCTAGCTTTCAGGGCTGATGCTCTGAAAGATCTGGGAAGTGGGGGGGGGGTCTCCGCCTTTTGGAGGTTTTCGGGAAGCCTCAAGGCCTCGCAAGCTCCCTGCGGCCCACCCAGATTGCTCCATGGGGCAAACCCTGGGGCATGTTCGGATGTGGAGGCAGCTTGCTCCTGAAGCCGAAGCACAAGACCTCAAAACCTCAAACTCAAGTCGCAGGAGAACTGCGGTATCAGGTTTTGGGATGAACCCTTTGAATCCAATTCTGACGTCACTTCCGCCAGGACTTGAACCCTGATAGGCCTCGATCCATCTGGCAAGCTGCTGAGCATTGGCGGAGCGACATCGCCTTCATGTCCTGGTGGCGTCCGGCGTGGGCGCCAGTCGTTTTGTTGCCAGGTTGTCGTAGGTCGTAGGTAAGCAGTAGTCGAGTAGACTTAGAGTATCCTGCCGCCGGAGCCCTGACTGGAGGAGTGTCATGAAAGGATGGGCATCACGTCTTTTTTGCGGTCCGAGTTTGTCAACTTCTCCTCCACCGGCCAAGGCTGGAAAGCAGGTAGCTTATCCCCACAGCAGTACGGCGTTCAGGGGCCGAGGGCTCATAGAACTTAGTGTTGAGAGCTTCTTGGTTTAGATGGGCTTGGGGCAGACTGCACGAGGCTCTCCAGGGTGCGAAGTGAGGAAGCAAGCAAGCAGGCAACTGTGTGCTTGCCAAGAAATTGCGCCGGGCCTTCACGGGCGCATTCCCCCTGGCAATCAGATTCGGAAGCAGACTGGCAGTTCCGACAAGAGGACATTTAAACCAACAGAACACCATGAACTGGGACATCCGGATCAGCAAATTAGCCTTGTAGATGGTCTTCCAGCAAGCTTGACCAACGCTCATGTGGTGTAACTCAAGATGTATGTTCTTGACATCATAAACAGGGCAACAACCACAAACAAAGCATTGACGCTAGGACCAAGGAACAGCATTTATCATCAGGAACATGATGTTCATGCGAGAGTACATGCTAAAGCAGCCTGATGCATGTCGCGTGTACCTCGCGCATCACGCCCTTTTGAAACGCAGGGTCTGTCATAGCAGCCCGCAAGCTGAAACCCCTGCAGTTGGCTGCAGTTGTAAGCGACTTCCGGGTGCTGCAAAGATGGCGGGGGGGGTGACTTTCATCTTGAATATTCGGAACCCACGAGGGACTTTCCGAAAATTGGGGTACCTTATTTTAGGNNAGGTCCTTATAATAAGGAGCCTACTAATTAGAGTACTATATTGGGGTCCCCCATTTTTGGTAACCCCCAGGAGTTCTTCCCATTTCTTCCATAAGAGAGCCGGCTCGACTGGCTTTGGCAGCCAGAGCCGAAGCCCAGGGACTTGAAGTTGCCCTGTCGCGAGGGGGTTAGGGTTTAGGGTTTAGGGTTTAGGGGTTTAGGGTTTAGGGTGTAGGGGTCTGGGGTTTAGGGGTTTAGGGTTTAGCGTTTAGGGGCTTGGGGGTTTAGGG